CCTAATGATGACTATTGAAACTGATCCAAACAGCTATATTATGGTAAAACATAGAAAGAAAGAACTTGTTTTAATGGGGTTTTTTTCATAGCTTTTTACTTTCCAGAAGTCAAAAAATGCAATGCACAAAAAGAGAGCATTGGTCATTAACTTGGAAATAATATACAATATTCAAATTTAATGGAGATATCCAGCAATAAATTGTACAAATAATTAGGTTCAGACTGTTGATGATCTGATGTATCTAAATTTGTTCAAGTTTAATGGAAATATACAACAGTGAATTATACAGATACTTTTAGAGTGATGATAAGTATCCGAGATGTACTTAGACCATTCCTTTCAAGGGCTGTTTCCAGGTCATACATTTTACCTATATGCTCGATAGGAATAGAGTTCCGTGAATGTGCAAGTCTACGTTTGGCAATATCCTCTTAAAGGAATGTGATGACCAGCTCTGCATGATGGAGCTGGGTGTTATAATCTTTAAGCTGAAGTCAAAGTTAATTGTTCCTAAATATAAAAGCATAAAAGGTTGTAGGATATAGTCTATAATGTGTGGTATTAATGGTACTTTTATGCATTAGAGGTCCGTTATTGTTTGTTTCTGACCACGCTATACCTTTTCCACTACTTTATATGTCATATTCTTGTATGAAATGGGGTTGGACCTGGTTTCAGATTCTTTCCAAATATATGTCTTATGTGGCTGCATAGTGAAAATGATTTCTCTGTAAAAAGTATATTGCCCTAAATTTTGTTTGTCTTCTAGTTTTGTTCTAGGTACTATTGCAGCTTTGCTAATTTGTATATTTCTATGAGCAAAATAGACATTATCATACAGACTGGTCTTTTAAAGTCTGTTTTTAACCATATGTAAACACTAATAGCATTCAGTTATGGCTGTACACATCTGATTTAGCTTTGGTGTAGATATGCAATGATTACAGATAGGAGTTATCTTGATGATGGTTTGTCTTGTTTAGGTGTCTGGCCAACTGTACCATTAGTTTGTAAACATTTCCACATATTTGTAATGAATCTCTTACACTTGTAAACAACTATGATTGCCCAGCTTCCATTTTTATGATGGTTTTCCACATAAGTGAAATATACAAATCTTTTCTTTGAGGTTTAGCCATTATTCCTGGATGATTTTGAGCTCTTGAATTCTGTGATTCATTTCAAATTGACAACTAAAACAAGACTATATGAGACTTCTATATACATAGCATAGGTTGAATGACCAGTCATTTATATTCAAATCATGTGACTGACAATTAAATGCCTCATTTGCATGAAATGTAACTGAAGTGGTTGACAAGTTTGGTTAATAACCTATAATCTGTCAGCTGATTCTTGGTGTACTTATTTATTGATACCCTTACAGTTGTTACATTTCACCTTGTTTCAAATTTTCTTGTATAACATTATGAAAATATCAAGTTTTTTCTCTTTGTTGCTTTTGTTTGTGTAATATTTGTTTATAGTATATCAGTTTTGTCTGTATGGTAGTCTACTAAAAAATGATAAAGAATATATAGTACTTAAAATACTATGAACTAAGTTTAATGTTGTATTTTGTCTTTCTTTTGAACTTTAATATAAGTGATAATTACCATACCTGGTGACAAAACATAAGAGTAACTGATTGATGTTAATCATAACAGAACTGATCCTGGTAATATTAATTTTAACAGTTAATGTTATGACTTAGAATGTTCATTTGCTGTTTTACATGACAGACCTCATAAAAACTTTTCTACGATTTAACTGGTTTGTACAATTTATTCAATCATTTTTTTTATAATTGCATTCAAGTGACATATGTATTATAACATAAACTAATGATCTCTTTGTGTATGTGTAATATTTCTTTTGAATAAGGGTACTAGCTAAACAAAATCTAGTACAGTCAGTCCTAGTACAGTAAGGAAACATGTTTGTCATCAGAACATACCTTCCATGTATTACATTTAAGTCGATGGATTAGTTGGCCCCGTTGTTCGTCGTGGCTCTCGGGAACATATCCACAACGAGTAACAAGGACCAGTTTTATTTTCCTGTTTTTGTTTATTTTCTTGGTAAGATATTTCAGTTGCTCTAGTTTCATATGAAATGTGTAAGTAAAATTATTTCAAAGATATTTATTGCTAAGCTTCTAATATGTATTAGGACATTTATATATTGGAATCAGAATTTTTGATATATTTATTTTAATGTCTTACTTTAGTTAAATGCCATTGACGAAGATGACCCCTGCTATGAATTCAGAAGGGCAAGAGTAGTAGAACACAGAACTCACTTGTATTATATTGAATATGATTATGAACCTGTAAGTACCTAGAATCTACTTAACAGAGTGCCTGTCAGCTTGAAATAGAAAATACAGTAAAATTACTTTTTTTATACAAAAGTTTCTTGTTTAATTACTTATCATTTAATGTGATTCTTTGAACTAACTGAATACAAACTTTTATTAGTATAGAGGCGAACACTGGTAAAACCTTTTTTTTTATAACTTCATTATTCATTTTATTTTTAAAATATAATAAATTTTTAATTTAATGTACTGGAATACTTCTGTTATTTTTTTAAATGATAAAATAATTGGCTTAGAGGAGGAGGCAGTGTATTAATTGTAATTTGACTTTTCAAGGAAACTTCATGTTTGTGTACTCATTGAGTCTAAACTTTTAAATGAAAAAGCCAGTTTATCAGTGGTGATAGATGTGTAACTTGTGTATTAGATTTATGATTATTTAACCACACATGAAAGAATCGCTCTCTGGTTAGATTTTTTTTACTATTCTAAAGACATTTGTTTTCACAGATGTGCATTGAAAAGGATTTCTAACTAAATCATTTATTAGCTCAAATAAAGTACAAAGAAATATTATTGGCAAGTGAAGTTCTGCATACTCTTGGCTATTTCTGTGCAAAACCTAATACCCTCAAATTGAATGTTGTATATTAATGTTATTTTCTGTTATGATATGTGTTTCTCAAAATAAGCAATAAAGCTTAAGTGAAAAAATCTATATAAAACCTTCAAACCACATCTAAAACCTATGATATTGTTGATCCCATGACTGTTCTTGTCATCTATGTGTGTGTGGTTTAGATTATAAATGAATAAGATGGTTCTAATAGTGAACTGCAGAGGTGAAAGTTGAACTTCACTCACTGTTACTTTCACATTGTTATTGTTAAGAATTTATATGCATTCAAATATTTTAAAAAAATGCTAGTTTCATTTAATTAGAACAAATATTTAGCAGAATTGCATGTTGCAAGTTTTAAGAAAATGTTGAACATATTGCGTTAATTGCCGTAAAACATTTTTTAAACTGTGCTTTGTGTGAACTGTAATTGAAACATTTTTGCATTTATTTTATTTTGTAGAAGAATATTGCTTGCTAAAAGTAACTAATAACCACGAAAACTATTACATTAATTAAATAAGAAATACTTTATATTCGTTTATTACTCACAGTTGTTTATTATTCTAGTAATTGAAAATTCATATTTTTTTCCAGTCTCCAGAAGGAAATGATGTTACTCTAGTAGCTCAGTTGTCTATGGACAGACTACAAATGGTAGAAGCTCTTTGTAAACATTGGGATGGTAAAGTATCAAAACATTTGCATGAATATTCTTTTAATATAACAAAATTTAACTGATTCTGTTTTTCCTCAGCAAAGTAAAGTATATTATCAGTAGAAATGTAACTTAAAAGCTATAACTGTTGCTATGAAACTGTATCTTAACAATATCTATGAAAATGTGTGATAATTAGTAAGAATGGTAGAAATGTATATGAAATCAATTAACCTATTTTAAAGTTCTTTCAGTACATAAATTAATGAATTATTACTAATATAAATGTTTAAATAATATAAGTGGCAGGATAATTGAGGTTGACATTATAGATTTTTTTTGTGGCAAGAGTAAAAATTAAAAACAATCTTTGATGTAAAAGCTCGATATATGTGATTCACGGCACACTTTGCTCTAGATAGCAGTTTCGTCTAATAAAGGATCATAAGCACACCTGGGGTCAGCAAATCAAAGAAATACAATAAAACCTCTTATACCATGGTTTGAATATTTATGGTGCTCTTTATATAGGCATTTTTAACTCGCCATTTAGTGACCTAAACTATTTTAGGTATGTGATAATATTATAGCATTCTTCCATAATTATTACTTACTTGATATTATACAGTGAACAGGTGTAGCAAAACAAAGATTATGTTCAGCCTCTCCTCTATGTCAAAGATTGTATTTTTAGTTTTTACCTTTGGTAACAAAAAAAAATCTAGCTTCATCGTCAAGCAGTTGGTTCACTGTACAGGATGATGTAAAAGGTTTGCTCTATAGGGATTTTAAATAAGAATACAACAAAAGTGCTTGCTTTTTTTGTTTATTAAAGTAAGTGTTCCAAATTTATTCAATGGCCAGCAATTCAAACATTTCCTTTAATAAACAAAAAAGTAATTACTTTTTCTTAATGTTATTCAAAATTCCCATCGGGGCACTACTTTTGCATCTCTATATAATATTGATTGATAATTTTCCCACAGTGCCAATAATATTCACATACCTAATGTGGCTTAGGTTACTTATGATCATTTTAAAGGGACACCATTAATATTGGAATAATTATATTTCATAGTCATGTAAATGAACAATTCACAAGTTCTTGGTAGATGGTTGACTTAGGTATTCACATGCTGCAAATTCAGAGGTGGTGTACGTTTATAATAATAATAGGTTATTTGGTAATAAAGTAAAAAGTTTTTCAAATGACATGCACATGTTCAATCTAACTAAGGGTATCAAGCTCATAGATGGTGTGTTATTTACAAAAGCCAAAACACCTGGTGTGTATTGCACCTAACATGATCACTGGAGGAATTACAATAGCGACAAGATATGATATTGCTCTTCCAATTTATCTATTGGTGATTGAATATGTTTTGTCAAATTGTTTCCAATTTCTGATTTCAAAACAAGCTAGTTATATGGATTATTACTTATTAGGTATTTTTTTCTAATATTTTATTTTTAGTACTTTTCAAACAAGTCACGAGTGAAAGGCTGTCATCTTGCTGTTGACTTGCATTCAAAATTTTATTGAACTACTAT